CCTCCCTTGAACCCCCCTCCCCCCCCCCAAACTCCATGCCCCCCACCCCAAAAGAGGGCAGCAACTCCTTTTCATACAACCCGTTGCCCACCCCAAGAATTTGGGTAGCACCTCCTTTGAACCACCCCCACTCCCTCCCTCCCCAGCAACTAATTCCTTCCTCCTCCCCAAAGTGAGGGCAGCACTCCCACTGCATAACCCCTTTCCTTTCCCCTCCCCTATGAAGGCAACACCCCCTCCAAACTCCTTGTCCCCCATAAACAAGGCTGGCAACCCCACACCCCCTGTCCTCCCCCCCACAACCAAAGGCAGGACCCCTTTTAGACCCCCCCCACAATCCTTTATTCACCCTCCCAATGAGGGCAGCACCTTCTTTGCATAACCCCATGCCCCCCTCATAAAATAGGGTAGCACCTCTCTTTGCCCCCCCACCAACACCCCTTCCCACCCCCTGCCCCCCATATGCTCCTGTCCTATAGGTGACGGTGCGTGTGAAGCTGGAGGAGGTGCCCCCAGGGAACACAGAAGATCCCGAGGTGGTGCTGGACCCCCCCAGCCCCCCACTGGAGCCCTCTGGGGACGAGTGGTGGGAGGGCAATGGGAGGTTGGACCCTGAGGAGGAGGAGGAGGAAGAGGAGGAAGAGAGGAGTCTGCAGGAAACAGGTAATGGGGTGGAGGGAAAAAATCCCCATTTTCCTCCCCCAAAATGCACGTGGGCAGCTCGGAGATGGAGGGTCTCCTGCAATGGGTTTGGTCTCAGTCGGGTCTCATTGGGTTTTATGCTGAGATGATGGCTTCCTCTTCATCCCTACCTGGTATGGTTTGGTGGAGCCAGTGGTGATGTTGGGATTTGGGATTTTGCTCAGTGGTGGCGGCCTCTTCCTCATCTCCCAGCAGTACGGACCCACCAGTGGTGTTGGGGTTTGGATTTTGCTCAGTGGTGATGGTTTCATCTTCATCCCCACCCAGAATAGCTTGGTGGACCTAATGATGATGTTAGGATTTGGGGTTTTGCTCAATGGTAGTGGTCTTGTCTTCATCCCCCACTGGTATGGACCAACTGGTGATGCTGGGATTTGGGGTTTTGCTCAGTGGTGGTGGCTTCCTCTTCATCCCGCCCAGAATGGCATGATGGACCCAATGATGAAGTTGGGATTTGGGGTTTTGCTCAGTGGTGGTGGCTTCCTCTTCATCCCACCAAAAATGGCATGATGGACCCACCAAGGATGTTAGGATTTGGGGTTTTGCTCAATGGTAGTGGTCATCATCCCCCACCAGTATCAACAAACTGATGATGATGGGATTTGGGGTTTTGCTCAGTGGTGGGAGTTGGACCATCTCCACCATTGGTAGAGAAGACCACAGAGTGATGGGGCTTTGGAGGAGTGGGGTGATGTCCCATGAAGACCAACTCCCCAATTCCCTCCTCCTTTCCACCAGCAGGTCCCACGGAGCTGGAGGACCCCATCCTGACAACCCAAGACCCCCCGCATCCCCTCAACATCCCCCAAGGTGGCCGCACCACCAGGACTCCCACGCACACCGAGACCCACCACCACCCCAGGGGGACCCCAAAGGATCCCACCGCCTTCCCACCACCCCAAAGACCACCCAGACCAACGGAGGACGCCGGGAATGCTGAGAAACCATGGGTGAAACCAGCAGCACACAGCAAGGAGCGTCCCTACCCATGCGGGGAATGCGGGAAGACCTTCGGCCGCCTGACCCACTTGAAGACCCACCAACGGACCCACACTGGGGTGAAGCCCTACGCCTGCGGTGCGTGCGGCAAAAGCTTTGGCCACCTCTCCACCCTCACCACCCACCAGAGGCTGCACACCGGCGAGCGACCCTACGCCTGCGGGGCGTGTGGGAAGACCTTCACCAACCCATCAGACCTCAACAAGCACCAGAGGTCGCACACGGGCGAGAGACCCTACCCCTGTGCTCAGTGTGGGAAGAGCTTCAGCCAGCAGTCCAACCTCACCATGCACCAACGCAGCCACACCGAGGAGCGGCCGTACCCTTGCGGGGCTTGTGGGAAGAGCTTCAAGTACCTGGCTGATCTGACGGTGCACGAGCGCTCGCACACGGGCGAGAGGCCCTTCCCCTGTGCTCAGTGTGGGAAGAGCTTCAGCAATAAGTCCTCGCTTGCCCGGCACACGCGGATCCACGCGCGGGTGGCCGCCAGGGACAAGTGATAGGGTTGGGTGATGGTGGGATGGGGGGCTGGGAGGGGTGAAGAGACGATGATCCACCAGGAATCGCCATTGGAGTTGCAACATAACAAGGGGTGAAGAAGAGCAGCTGGTTGGTGGCTTCCAAGAGCATCTGAGGTAGCTCTGAAGTTGGTCAGTACTGAGGAAGGGATCCAATTCTATGTGTTTGAGAACTTGGTAGCCCCAGGACACAACTCCTTAGTCCCAGAGGAGATGGAACATGGTTGACTGTGAAGAGGAGCTGATGGTTGGTGGATTCCAAGAGCCTCTGATGATGGTTGGTGGCCTCTAAAGTAGCCCAGGAGGCCCTGAAATTGCCCAGTACTGAGGAAAGAATCCAATTCTACGTGCTTGACAACTTGGTAGTCCCAGAAGAGATGGAACATGGGTGAGGGTGAAGATGAGCTGATGGTTGATGCCCCTCAAGAGCTTGGTGGCTCCAGAACTTTGTTCCCTGGATCCAGAAGAGATACAGCATGGACGAAGGTGAAGACAACCTGATGTCTCCCATGAGCCTGGTGGCTCCATGATGCAGCTCACTGGTCCCAGATGGGATGTAATGTGGTTGTGGACCATCAGAAGATGATCTGATGGTTGATGTTCTCCATGAACTTTCTATGTGACTCCTTTAATCCCAGAAGAGATGAAAAACGGATGAGGCTGAAGGTGAGCTGATAGTTTATGTCCTCCTAAGCGCTTGGTGGCTTCAAAACTTTGTTCCCTGGATCCAAAGGAGATAGAACATGAATGAAGGTGACAATGAGCTGATGGTTGATGTCTTCCAAGAGCCTGGCAGCCCCAAAACATGTCTCCTTTGTCCCAGAGATGTAATGGTTGAAGGTGAAGATGAACTGATGGTTGATGTCCCTCAAGATGGATGAAGGTGGCAGTGAACTGATGATTGATGTTTTTGATGAGCCTGGTGGCTCCAGGACTTGATTCTTTGCTCCCAAAGGAAATTCAATATGGCTGAGGGCAAAGGTGAGCTGATGGTTGACGCCCTTCAAGATCTTGGTGGCTCCAAAATCTGGTTTTCTGGTCCCAGAGGAGATACAGCATGAATGAATGTCTGACGGATGATGTCTGCCATGAGTTCTTTGGTCTCACCTCCACACACCCCACCCTCATCTCCACCATCAGGACACCCCATCCCCTCCAATTGAGCATTTCCAGATGAATCTGTTTTTTGGTTTTTTTTTCCCCCCAGTATTTATTCATTGTCACTCCTGCAGCGAGTGACAACCTCCTCCCCGGGCCTTAATGCTCCAGCACCGACCTACCTCATGGACCACTCGACATGCCCAGGGCTCCACATCTCCTCCCTGTGGGTTCACCCCGCTTTCTCCCCTCCCCACTGCTGTAACAAAAGTTTGACCCGTTTCTCTGCATCCTCTGGTGTTTCTTTAGTTGTTTTTTTTTGTTTGTTTGTTTTCTGCAGGGGCAAGAGCAAGAACTTGCTCACGGGAATGCACGGAACTGGGGATGCAGGTGCAAATTTTAGAGGAATTCAGAGGGAAATTCAAAAGAATTAAAGTGGAAGTATGGCATGGGAGGGGGACAAGGGAAACAGGAGTGCATTAGGTTGCATGGGGGGTGAGAACGAGGGTGTCTTGTACACTGCTGATGTGGCTCGTGACTCCCCAAAGTCACAGTAGTTGGGGGACAGACTTGACACCAATGAAAATCCAATGGGGATCCTATGGAGATGCAGTAAGAACAGAGCAGGGACACAGTGAGTATCCTATGAAAAAACAATGGAGACCCAACAGGGATCCTATGGGAACACAACAGAGACTCAACAGGGATCCTGCAGGGAAGCAATGGGAATACAGTGGGGACACAACAGGGATCCTATGGGAATACAGTGGAGACCCAGTGGGGATCCTATGGGGACCCAATGCACATCCTGCAAGGACAAAGCCTCCATCATCCTCCTCCTGAGATGATGCCAAGACACGTGCACATCATCTCATCCCAACAAACCACACGGGTAGATCTGTTTGATTTGCAAGTATGTTCTTTACAGAACAGGAAAAGAAAAGGAAAACATAACGCAGTGGAAGATTATGTCCATCCAACTCTGGGTGCAGGGAGGTTTCTCAATGTGCAGCTGCTGTGCTGGTTCAGAGAGAGGCGCTCGGATGATGGTTGTTGTGAAATAAAGGAAAAACAGAGATCATGAGAAATGCATTTTCCTGCATTTGGGGTTGCTGCTGTGTTATTCTGAGGGAGATGGAGGTAAATGGGGAAAAAGTAGAAGATGAAGATTGCAAAAACATGCATTTTTCTGCACTCCTCATTGTTGCTGTGGCTTTTTAGGGAGAGATGTAGGTTACTGGGGAAATAAAACAGACATAGCAGTCTGCAAAAATACACTAATTGGAGAAAAAAAACAATGCATTGCATGGCATTCTGCTGCACATGGTGACCCCCATCACCATCTGCTGTGCTCAGCACCGTGTTGAACCAGGAAGGGGCCAGCACCACTCAATGCCAGCCCGGACACCCACCACCTGCTGGCTGCGAGCCACCCCTGTCACTTCCACCTGGTGTGGTTGGCCATCACCAAAATCCCTGGTGAGATCTGCAGTGAATGGGATGCGAGCATCCAGCCGACGTCCCACCATGGCTACCGTGCACGTCGTACGGGGCTGCATCTCCAGCTCAACCTTGCGGGTGTGTTCAATGTACTCACCAGCACTGGCTTTTCCCAGCCAGGTGACATTAATGACATTGGTGGCCTCCCAGCTCATCCCATTGAAGGCCAAGAGGCCGGCTTCCAGCACCCCGCGGACGCTGCTGAAGATCTCCTGGTCCAGCTCCCAGTCCTGCTCCACTTCAGTGGCTTCTTCCAAGGTGACATCTTGCCGTGTCCCTTGGCAGCCTTCGTTTTTCACTGTGGTCTTTGTTATGGTGACGTCCTCACTGTGCTCCACAGCTGCACTCACGTTGTAGAGGACATCTGAGATGGTGATGCCTGCTGGGCCCGTCTTCACCGTCAAGACTTGGTACCACTTGAACCACACCTCCTTGCCATCCACCGTCACAAATAAAGCCCTCTGCTCCTTGGAGACCTTCCCCAGGCCGTACCGGTTCCTCCCCACATAGATGTCAGATGACTCACAACCCTCTACAGCATTCTCAGGTACATCACCAAATGAATCATCCACCCACCGCAGCGCCTCCAACTTTCCTTTGTTGACCAACACCTTGAATTCATAGGAGTTATGTGCCAATCCTCCAAATGCAAAAGTGCAAAATGGACCCCGGCTCGGAACGTAGGAACCAGTGCTGCAGTGCCAAGACTTGGATAAGCAGACATACTCTGTCATGTTGGTGTAGGCGTTCCAATTGGACACGGTGTCGGCTGGCAATTCACCACCAAAAGGCTCCCATGACAGCCAGGAAGGCAACTCCTTGCCTTCCACCCTCTGAAAACCAGTCCAGCTGGAAGCTGTATGGAAAAATAGGCTGTTTTAGCCAAATGGGAAGAGGTATTTGAGATGCCTCCATCCCTCCACAGCTTTTGGAGCAACGGAAATGCAAGATTTCCCACTGGTGGACCGGCCAGCACAGACAACCAAGAAAACAATCACGTGGAATCAAAGGATGATGGATTCGTGGAGTTGTGGAATCAATGAAAGAATCACAGAATCATGGGATCAAAGAATTATAGAAGCATGGAATTAGGGAATCAAAGAATCATGTTATCAATGAAAGTATTGTAGAATCATGGAATCAAAGGATCGCAGGGTCAAGGGATATCCTGAAATGGAAGGGACACAGAAGGACCATCAAGTCCAATTCTTAGCTCTACACCACCCAGAATTCAAACTGTACTTCCAAGAGCACCATCCAAAATGCTAAGTGAGACTTTCAGCAACTCTCTGTATTTCTGGGGAGAAATACAGAAAATGGAGATCTTCACGATGTCAGGATGGATGAGAGCAAGACTCACCAGAGTGTTGGAGAAGCTTCCTTCCCATTGGTGATCCAGGAGCTCCATCAGCCCCACTGTGGGTGAGGAAGAGGAGGGCAGCAGTGAGGAAGAGCTGTGAGGAAGATGAGGGCAGGTGTCACCCAACAAGGACGTTCCCATTGGTGACACCCGCCAGGTCACCATCATATCCCTACACGACCTTTTTCCACCCATTTTGGGGGATAAAATCCTCCCTGCCCATGTTGACACAGCTTTAATTGTTAACCAGCTGGGAGAAAGGCTGGGAAGTGCAACAGAGCACCCGTGTGCAATGACCACGTTTCAAAAAAAAGATTATTATTATTATTATTATTATTATTATTATTAATTTTTATAAATGATTATTTTCTGGCAACTAAGAATTTCTTTGAAACAATTAAAAATCCCCCCCCAGAATGACCAAAAATGTGCCCCACAAAGAGTCATACCTTGATAGTGAGCATCCTGCCCGGCCAACTACAGACTGTGATTTAAATACACACATATTTGTACATAAATGCATGGAATACAGAAAACATATAAAAACATTAAAAACAAATATAAAATTCATATACATATATATATATATTTTAATAAAGAAACATTTATTTCAACACACCCATGGACACACTCTCCCATCGCATCACACCAACCCCAATGGCTCAAACAACCCCATTCTCACGCAGCTCCAGCAAGGCTCCATAAAACTCCCCATTTTGGGGCTAAAACCACAACAGTTTTGGGTCTAAAGCCAACTATTTTGGGTTCTGCTGAGTTCTTCACCCACCAGGCTTAGTGCAAACCCCAAAAGGCTCTCATACCTCGTCTCTGTTCCCACCTGCAATCCTCACAACGTAAACCCTGTTATTTTCGGGTCTTTTGGGTCCTTTTTGGGTCACTTCTAAAGTAGAACAGTTGGCCGTGCGCAGCCAGCAACCCAGGAAAAGGGCCAAAGTCTGAACAGGGAGAGAAGTGCAAATAAATAAAATACAAGGGGTGGCGATTACTGGGAAATTGGCAAATTCTCTGTTTCTGCACAAAATGAGCACATTTTTCTAATCAAAGTGGGAAAAAATGCATTGCTGGCACCCGAATAACAGCTTCAGGCCAACACAAAACTCCCACTGCCAGGAGGTGCTGGGGTCACCGAAGCAGCTCACCTCACCCCAAAACACCAAAAAGTGGCCATTTCTGGATTAAAAAAAAAAAAAAAAGTAAATCGCTATTGTTTCCTTTTTAACCAAAAATCTTCATTTTCTGCTCCACTTGCCGTGTTTGTACATCCACCAGAGGAAAACAGGAATCACACCCAAAATTTCCATCTACTTGGGGTGGGATGAATTTAGAGGGTTTCCCGCTGCAGAGAGAAGCCCTTGCAGTGTGGGGTGCACCAATATGGGGAGTTTTCACCCCAAAACGGGGCTGCAGCCACCATGTCCATCCAGCACCTTTCTTTTTTTGGCTTCAAATCACTGTTTTCTAACATGAAAATGGACCACCTGATGGTGCAGTTTCAGACAGGATGTCATTGTCCCACCGGTGCCCAACCCCACAGCAGCCATTAGAGAACTCCCCCTCCCCACCCAGTGCTCCCAGTCCCTTGTTGGGCTGCACTGGGGGCCCCAGGAAGCAGTGGGGGAGGCAGCAGGTACCAGTGTGCAGCCTTTATTGCCCTAGTTCCACTCAACTGCCCCAGGAGAGGGGGGCAATACCCCTGGGGGGGGGGGGGGGAGTGCAAAAACCCTCAGAATGGGGCAAATAACTCAAAGAGGGAAGCAAATAGTCCAAAAGAAAATCAAAAACCCAGAAAAAGGAGGCAAAAAAATTGGAGAAGAAAGCAAATATCCTCAAAGGAGGGGATGAAGAGGGGGGAAAAATACCCCTTAGGTGAGCAAGTAGCCCCAGCAGGGGACAATTCCCCTCCCCCCCCTGGAGGGGGGGAAAAAGCTCTGTAGTGTGTTGTCAGAGATACCCCCACTGGGGGGGTATTTGGGTGGAGTCAAAAGTCAATGCAGTCAGCCCCCCCGGGGTGGGGGACGAGTCACCAAGAGGGGTCAAAGTTTGGAGGTCAGCGCAGGGCATCTCCGGGGGCAGAAGGTTGCTGAGGTCAGGCCTGGGGTCCGGGGAGGGGGGGCACGATGGAATTGAGGTGCAGAAGTGGGGGCTCAGTCCCGGCGGAGGTTCTTGAGCCGCTCCTCCAGGTCAGCGTCGGCGTCAGCCAATGCAGCAGCAGCCTCAGCTGCCCGCCCCTCCCCTGCTGCCAGTGACCCCCCCGGTGGGGGCAGGGCTGGGGGGCAGAGGGCAAAAGTCAGGGCAAATATCTTCCCCCCACTCAGCCCCCCAAAAACACTTCCCCGTCCCCCAAAATGACCCCAGAAACATTTCATAATACTCCTCCAAAAATGCCCCCCCAGGAGCCCTTAAATACCCCCCGCTGAGCCCCCAAAGTGCCACCCCTGACCCTCTCGACCCCACCAAGCCACCCCCCACCCCACTCACTGGCCAGCTCATCGGTGAGGTTCAGTCCCAGCTCATCCAGCACCTGTGACACCACTGCATCGCTGGGAGAGGACAAGAGAATATTGCAGAGGTCATGCCAGGACCCCAAAAATATCCCCATGACCCCAAAAACATCCCCATAACCCCCCCAAACCCCCATGTCCTTTCTCCACCACCTCCTCACCACATCCCCCTCAGTGTCCTCCACCACATCCCCCTCGGGTTTTCAACCTCACTTCACATCCCCCTCAGGTCTTCAACCTCACTTGCCCACATCCCCACCCCATAACCCCATGTTCCTATATGGGGTGTCCCCTATTTCCCCAACACATGTTCCCTTCTCGTGTCCCCATGTTCTCAACCACTGTGTCCTCCACATCTCTGCCTCATGTTTTCCTTCCCATGTTTTTGTGTCCCACCTATCCCTATCCTACACATCTATCTCCCACCATGTCCCTGCCCTGAGTGTCCCCCATATCCCCATCCCACCACATTCCACTCACCCGATGACCATGTCCTACATCTCACCATAACCCTATCCCACTCTGTCCCAGGCCCCAAATGTGTCCCATTGCACCATGTTTCTCTTTCTCCATCTCCTTGTGTCCCTATGTCCCCTCAAGTCCCCACGTCTCTGTCACCCCACATCTCCCACCTCTCTTCCTCATCGTCCTCATCCCCCATGGCATCATCAATGGCGTCGTTCATCAGCTCCTCCTTCATGTCCATGATCTCTGCCTGTTTCTCAAACTCCATCATGATCTTCTGGATCTGCGGCAGCTTCAGCTGTAGGGACAGACGGACACAGCACGTGGCACATGGGGACGTTCTCACAGTGGCTACAGCCTTGTACATCCCCATGGATACTCTGAGTGGTTTCTGGTGGCCATGATCTTAGAGACATCCTCATATCTCCGAAGCAACTTGTGGTGGTCACAACCCTTGGGATGTCCTCACGGCCAAGCCAGGACACCTCATGGCAACCAAGTTCTCAAAAACACCCCTACGACCACCATGGGACTGGTCATGATGGCCACGACCTCAGGGACAACCCCATGGAGCACTTTACAGTGGCCCCAGCCTTGGGGCCATCCCCAGGTCAGCTGGCAAATCTGCAAAACATTCTCCATAACGTCATGGTCTCAAAGACATCCCCACTGCCATCCCAGGCCAGCTCTTGGTGATCCCAGCCTTGGGGACAGGTCCACCCACCTGCCGGTTCATGGTGGCCATGGCTTTGGTGACGCCCTTCATGGCCTGGGCCATGGAGTTGTTGGATTTTAGGGTCTGGATTTTGAGGGACACGGCCTGGACGTTGGCCCTCATGGTGATGAACTTTTTCACATAGCGCCGCGTCCTCACCAGATCCTTCGCCATGATCTTCACTGCATCCTGTAGGCCAAAGAGGACATTGGGTGGCTGTGATGACCCCCAGGAAACTCCTGAGAACCCCTCAGTGTCCTCTAGTGTCTATCACCATCCTGATGGCCTCCCGGTCCCCTTATACCAACTGCGGCCATTTGGGATTTTCATGGTCCCCAAAGTTCCCTCTGTGATCTCTGGTCCTTTCCAAGCACCCTGATGTGTCCCCCAGTCCCACCACAGTCTCCTGGGTCTCCTTCACGTCCCCTTGCCTCTGCCATTATCCTCCAGTCAGCCCCACATCCCAGTCTCTCCACATTCCCACCACAGTCTTTTGAGCTCCTCCACGCCCCCAGTTTGTCACTCTGGTCCCTGGGTTCTGCCCAAACACCCAAATCCCTACTGTGTCACCTGGTCCCACCACGTCTCCTCTGCATCCCCTTGTCCCCAACCATATTTCCACGTCCCCACCATGTTTTCCTGGATTCCTCTGTATCCTCTGTATCCCTCCACGTCCTCCACATCCCCCTGTGCACATCTCCTGGCATCCACCACACCTCAATATCCACTCCATGTTCCAAGGTCACCAGTACAATCCCCATGTCCCCTTTACACTCTCCCAACTCCTGCTTATCTGGGAGTCATCCCACCATGTTTCCGTGATAGCAGCAAGGTCATAACTTTCCAAGTGCATCACGGTTTCCAACTCATCCTGCTTATTTCCCAGGCTGTGTGCATTGCTATCAAGGCACTTCAGCTGGGCTTTCTGCCTCACCACCTTATAGAAGATCTAGGATCCCCTAGAATAGAGGATCTAGCATCTCCAGCATCTCCCTGCCCCAGTCCACCCCTTTGTACTCCACCATCTTCACCCATTAAGTTTGATATGAGACATCCAATGACCTGCTTGTTGGGAAAATGGTTTTAAGTTGGTTTTAATGGTTTTGCTGGTTGGGAAATGGTTTGAAGTTGAGAGAGGGAAGATTTAGGTTGGATGTCAGGGGGAAGTTCTTTACTATGGGAGTGGTGACGTTCTGGAACAGGCTGCCCAAAGAGAATCACAGAATCACCAAGGTTGGAAAAGACCTTTGAGATCATCCAGTCTAACCATGCACCTATCACCAACAGTACTCACTAAACCATGTCACTCAACACAAAATCCAAGAGGTTGTAGATGCCCCATCCCTAGAGGTGTTTAAGGCCAGGTTGGACGGGCAGCCTGGTCTAGTATTAAATGTGGAGGTTGGTGGCCCTGCATGTGGCAGGGGGGGGTGGAAATTCATCATCCTTGAGGTCCCTTCCAACCCTGGCCAAAAAAAAAACCAAGCCAACCAAACCAAACCAAACCAAAGCAAAACCCCCCATTCCCACATCCCCCTCCGTGTCCCCTGGTCCACCCAAGAAGCTTCCCCTCACCATCTGTCCCTGCTTGGCCATCTTTTTGATGTCGATGATGATTTTCTTCTCCTGGGCTTCCAGTTTCTGGCGCTCGCGGTCCAGCTCACGCATGGCGCGGGTCAGCGCCCTCTGGTTCTGCCTTAGCAGCTCCTCTGGAGTCTTCCGACGGCCAAACAAAAGGTCCATGGTGACAAAATGCCTGGGGACAAGAATGGAGGGACGTCAGCATCGGGGACACGGATAGGGTTCGGGTTGGGTGGATGTGGAGGAGACGTGGATATGGATAGAGAGGGGATGAAGGAGGTATGGATGCGAGGATATGGATGTTGATGATGTGGATGTGGGGGATGTGGACGTGGGGAGGATGGGGAGATGGAGTAGACACGTATATATGGATAAAGAGGGGAGATGGGAGGCGTGGACAAGTGGAAAGATGGAGATGGGGAAGACATGGATATGGGGGAGGCAAAGGAGAACACGAAGGTGATGGCAGTATGGGCATGGGGAAGGCAGGGATAGAGAGGGGAAGATGGATAAGAGGGACACAGCCACGGCCACGTGAGCACTGGGGAGATGGAAAGGACACAGAAATGTGGATATAGAGGGGAAAAATGGATACAAAGGGCATAGACATTGCCATGTGAGCATTGGGGAGATGGAAAAGACACGGAAATGTGGATATAAAGGGGGAAAATTGATAAAAGGGACACAGCCATGGCCGTGTGAGCACTGGGGAGATGGAAGGGATGCAGATCTGGGTACAGAGAGGACATGGGGAGGATGTGGAGATGGGGAGGGCGCAGAAGAGCCACAAGAGGACCACAGTCCTGGCACTGTGAGCACTGGAGACTCGGAGCAGGGCGATGCGGGAGGACAGAGCCGTGGTAGGAGGTGGAAATAAGGCAGACACGGTCGAGTGTCCCCCCCCCCCTCCAACATGGCCGCCCCCAGGGACAGCATCACCCCCCCCAGCCCCGCCCCGTCGCCAAGGCAACGGGAAGCTCAGCCAATAGCAGAGCGAGGAGCAAGCCCCGCTTCCTTCCTGCCTATGGCTGCCCCCCTCCCCCCCCGGTCTCTATCCGCCCGACTCTATGATCCCCGAGACTGGGCCGCTCTGCCCCTCCAGCCCCGTTACTCTATGGTTCTTCCCCCTCTGCACCGCGCCGCTCTATCCCCATTCCCGCCGCTCTATCCCCCCTCCTCCCTCCTCGCCCGTCTCTATGATCCCGCGGCCGCGGACCCTCACCCCGCTCCTTCCGCCTCTCCCGCGCACTTCCGCAAACGCTGTGACGTCACACGGGCGTGGCAGTCACGTGATGAGAGGCGGAGCACTCTGAGTGGTAGGCGTGTGACGCCACTTCCTTTCCAAGTCACCGAGAGGTGGGCGGATAGAGCGGCACTTCCGGTCGCACAGCGCTTCTCCGGCGGTGTGTGGGACCGATGATGAGTTGGGGCAAACGGGGAACTGGGATATACTGGGGATAACTGGGATGTACTGGGAAGGACATCATTGGGACACAGTGGGATGCAGCAGGACATAATGGGAAGGTCACTTGGGACGCACTGGGGGGAACTGGGATGTATTATGGAGAGGATATTGGGACATACTGGGAGGAACTGGGATATACTGGGAAGGACATACTGAGGGTAACTGGGATATATACTGGAATATACTGGGAGGAAGGAACATCACTGGGACATACTGGGAGAACTGGGATATACTGGAGTATATATTGGGGTCTATATTAGGATATATACTGGGATATAATGGAAAGGTCACTGGGATATTCTGGGGGAACTGGGATATACTGGGAGGCACTGGGATAGGATGTGGAGCAGCTGGGGAGCAGAAGAGTCTATGGGAGACACTGGGAGAGAGTGGGAGGGGGACTGGGCATACTGGGATGCACTGAGATGAGGAGCTGGGTTATACTGGGAAGCACTGGGAGGCACTAGGGGCAAACTGGAGCAGGCTGGAGGGGACTGGGGACAACTGGGATGCTGCGGGTTACAAACACAGGGCATACTGGGAGCCTTCAGATGGGGAACTGGGCATAGTGGGAGCACTGGGATAGGGAACTGGGCATACTGGGAGCTCTCAGATGGGGAACTGGGCATATTGGGAGCACTGGGACAGGGAACTGGGTGTACTGGGAGCCTTCAGTTGGGGAACTGAGCATAGTGGGAGCACTGGGATGGGGAACTGGACATACTGGGAGCCCTCAGATGGGGAACTGGGCATACTGGGAGCACTGGGACTGGAACTGGATATACTGGGAGCGCTCAGATGGGGAACTGTGGGAGCACTGGGACAGGAACTGGGCATACTGGGAGCCCTGAGATGGGGAACTGGGCATAGTGGGAGCTCTGGGACTGGAACTGGGCATACTGGGAGCCTTAGAACACGGACCTGAGAGCACCCACCCCATACCCAATGCCCTCCCAGTACAAACCACTACACCCCCCCCTCCCCCCCCCAAATCAAACCACAGCAGAGGAGGAGGAGGAGGGGGGGCCGCCGCTCGTTACCATCGCCCTTTAATCACCCGCAGGGGGAGGGGGGGGAAATATGGGGGAGGTTTGGGGGGGGTGGGGAGGCAGAAAGGAGGGGGCCCCCCCCGCCCCCAGGGGGGCAATAAATAGGGGGGGGCGGGGAGGAGGTGTAAGGGGGGGGGAATGGGGAATGGGGGGGAGGAGGGGGGGCTACTTGAGGCAGCGCTCAAAGTAGGTGGCACCAACGTAGCCCCCCCTCAGAGAGCGCTGCACGTTCTGCTCAAAGAGACGTCGGTTGCTCTGCAGCACTTCTGCAGCCTCCTTGTTCAGGGGGTCCTCGGGATTCGGCTCCTGGGGGGAGGGGGGGGGCAAAAGGGGGGGTTGGGAGGCATAGGAATAAAAGGAGGGGGG